TATTTTATAGAATGACTTAGGAAGTTACACACATAGCAAACACAGAGAAGTTTACTAGAGAAACAGAATGGAATTTAAAGATACTATACAAAAGGTCCATTAATTTACCATAAAGCTAGAAAGAAAATTAAACAGGAAGAAGGGAGTGACAGTTGTGCAGAGAAATACAACAGTGAAGGCCCGAATATTCTTAGGGGTACAGAGTAGATGCTCCTCAAATGATTGTTGGATAAGAATGAAAACAAAATCTAGAAAAGGGGGGAATGCTATAAACACAGCCGGTCTTATTTGTGATCTGGAGGAGGCTTTGGGTGTGGATCAACCCTGCCCCATTCCTGCAGGTGAGACGAGGCAGCTCTGAGCGGTGAGGCTGCCACCTGAGCCCCTTGTGCTGGAGTGCTGTGTTTTTCTTTTCATGCTGGCCTGGGTGTCACTGGTCCACATTTGCTGGAGTTTGTGCTTCGCAAAGACACCACCAAAGTGTCTATTTTTGCCAGCTAGTAGATGAAATGCCCCAGCAATACCCAGAGTGAACTGGATCAGATGTCTCCCTTTCATTGCCTAGAGAGAAATAGCTGTATTCAGACAGCGTTTCAATCCTGGGGTCATCTGGTTGTCAGAATGGATACTGTGCTGCTCACCCAACATCCAATCCCTGACTGATTCTTCCTTTGCAACAAAATCCCAAATTCTATCTGAAACTCGTTCTTCCCCTACAATAACATGGCAGGGGAGCAATTCTCTGTCCCTCTCTAGGAGCAGATCTGATAGCATGTTGAGCCTCATCCTCTTCTCCCTTTGCTGTTTATGACTTAGCAATAGGCATGTAAGATGTAAGGGGACATCTTTGGCAGGGAGCTATAGTACAACATAAACCACTGGAAAAAACAGAGGAGAAACTGCCCTTAGGCAGAACTGGAATCAGGAACTCACCTTTCATCAAGATGTTGTCCCATTATCTCTTGACTGGGTTTCTCTAACTACTGGCGTTATTCTGTCAAATGGCTTCTCCATGAGGTGAGTGCTGGCTGCCAGGCCCAAGATAACCTCCATAGAGAATCACAGCCTGAGAACAGTGACTCTTAGCCCATTATCTGGTAGAAGATTGCTAAGAAACAATTATGGAATTATAGATAGAATTGCTCAGCTCAGGTGAGGTGTTCGTCCCAACTGATTCCTATGCTCTGTTAGTCGGCTTTTGATCACTGTGACAAAACCCAAGCAAAACAGTTTAAAGGAGGAAAGGCTTACTGTAAAAGCTCACAGTTGCAGATGGTTTAGTCCGTGGCATGATGTCTCCATCTGGGTGTATGGGGAGGCATAAGTGGTGGAAGGGTGTGTCAGGGAAAAGTTGCCCACCTCATGGCAGGTGGGATGCAGAGACAGGAGACAGAAAAGAAGCTGAGACTAAGACACACCCCTCAGAGACATGCCCCCCGACCCAGTTCCTCCCTCCCTCTGAGCCCACCTCTCAATACCTGATTCAGCTCTGAGCTCATTAACGGATGTTTGTGCTCTCATGATCCAGGGACCACTTGAAGCCTCCCTCTGAATATTGCTATACTGGGGATCAAGCCCTCAGTACAGGAACACTGTAACAGTGACCAAAAGGAATTTTCTGATAAGCTCATTTTGGATCAGGTGTCCTCTCCTCAATCCACTGCTACCCCTACAGGTGGGTATTCTAAGAAGGTGCCAGCCTCTGGAAGTTCCCGAAGGAGTTTTGCTGGGGATTACCAAGACTAGCACCCTTGCTCTTAATCAGGTACCATGTGAAGAAAATTTCTCTTCTAGCATTGAGACGTGGCTGCTAAAGCTATTTTGCAACTGTGAGGACTGTCAGGAAACACAGAGAGGGGGACTTGTCTTAGGATGCAGAAGAGGATTCCATCCTGAACAGCGTCCTTTCTCAAGCCTTTCCCTCAATAACTATTTTTCTTTAAAAATGTTTTAGTTGGTTGGTTTTTTTTTTGTTTTTTGGGGGGTCTTTTTTCATTTTTATGGTACCAGGGATGGAACTCACGACCGCCTGCTTGCAAGGCAGGTGCTTTTGCTGCTGAGCTAAATCCCCAGCCCCTAGTTGGTTGTTTTATAGCTTGCAGTTAAAATCCCTCTAACTGGCAAGAGGTCTGTGGTGATGGGAGGGGAGATTTTAGGAAAAAACAATGGGTACTGGGTCCTGAAGAAACTGCATCAAAATGGGGGTGCTGAGTGTCCCTCATGAAGCACATCTATGGGACCAAGAGAGCCATTTGACTGAGATTCAAGTTGGAGAGCACAGTCTTGGACGTCGGCTGATGTTCAGTAGGAAGCAGGGAGAGGCTCCTCATAATTAATGATTAAGTTCCTTAGTAATTAATGCCATCAATTCTGAGCATGGCGGGCAGAGTCTGAGGGTGAGGGGCCTCATGGCTGGGCATAGAGAACTTGGTACGTCAACTCATGTTCTTCTAGTCAGACAAGCTGGGTCTTTCTTCTGGAGAGTGGCTCTTTGGGTGGGGGCACTCCAGGGTGGAGCATGGGAACTGCACCCCAGCATCCCTTCTGTGCTTCTTCGGGTTTAGCTTGAGACTTCTCCAAGATGCCTTAACACAAAGGAGAGGCTAGGGTGAGCTCCACATGTGAAGAGATGGTTCTTTGAAGCACGGGCTCTAGAGAGGAACCCTCAGAAGTTGGAGAAGGCAGCAGAGGAATTCTGTGGGTCAGTTCAGAAGATTCCAGCTTGGTCAGCTGCTTGGGAAGCTTATCTTCCCAGGTGCCCGCTTCCCTCCAGACCACTGTGGCCCAAGGAGTCTTCTCATCTCTCTCTCACGGGCCTCAGGAAAGCCTGGCCCAGGGGACAATGCTGCCTTGTTCCACAACTCTGATTTCTAAGCGGCCTCTTGTTTGGGGGTCCAGAGAGCAAAGACGAATTGTGGAACAAGGAGAGTTCTGCCCTGGGAGTGGGGAGTGTGACTTCCTTTTGTCCTCTGCCAAGGGCCTTCCAATCTAGGACAGAGGGCCCGCTCCCAGGAGGAGTCGGAAGAGAGCCTTGGCCTTCAGCTCTGGGGAAGAGGGACCTGCAGGAGCAGTAACAAAAGCCCCACAGATCGCTCAGGGTGGTTTGAAGTATCCGAATTTGAGAGCTGTTCAAAACAACTCGACTAATGTGTGTGCAAATGCAAGGATACATCTGTGCAAATATACGTATGTTCTCCCTGTGTGATTTCTGGATTATGGACAAATAGTATCAGAACCCCTAATTTGGTAGATCTGATTTGTCAGAAGTTGGCCTAACTTTATACAGGCTGAAATTAAATTAGATTCCTGGTTCTTGATGTTGTGTCTTTGCTCTATGGAGTTGTTACATGAATTTATTTGATTTTATAAGCAAGCTCTGCTTGCTTGATGACTAAAGCCTGGCTTACTTATTGCTGATGTCTATGTACTTACCAGCTAATGTGCATCTGCTATTGTTTGTGTCTCTACTGTGGTATGCTAGACACACACTTTTCAGAGATTCTAATATAAATAAATGCTCACAGGTGTGCTCTTTTTTAGACCACGAAACAGCTTCATCAGCAGACTTCCTATCTCCAATTCCTTGGTGCCATCTTTCAAAAGTACTAGTACTTTTCCACCAAAGTACCCTAAAATGTTAGTTCTCACTACTCACTGCCTATTAAAATCATCTGGGAGACCTTAAAACATGCTGGCTTCTCTGAGTCTGGAGTCTGGGTAAACATAAACACGCTAGGGGAGAGAGTGTCATGATTTGGATGTGGTTCGTCCATCCAAAATTCATGGAGAAACCTCATTCCCAACGTGGTGTTGTCAAGGAGTAGTGGAGACATTAAAAGATGAGTAGCGATTACTGTCTTTCTTAAATGTGGCTTGTTGGTCCTCGCGCAACCAGGTTGTCACAGAGAGGCAGCCCCAGCGCCTCATCTCTCCTGCCCGTGCTGCTTGTCCTGCCTCCTGCCATGAGCTGAAGTAGCACCAGGCAGAGACTCAGAAGTTGCTGGCACTCACTCTCCTTCTTGACTTTCCAGCCTCCAGAACCGTGTCTTTTTCCTTTCTAAATTTCCCAGATTTGAGTACTCTGTGATAGCAACAGAAAATGAACTAAGACAGTAGATGGCATTTAAAACTCCTTGGATGATCTTGAAATGTGCCTGGAACTAAGAACTATGAACTAAAGGAGAGGACCATGTGTGCTTGTGCTTTGGGTACCAACCAAAGCTGCCAGCACCCCAGGGCGATTTCCTAGACTGTGCCTGTTTTTAATTAAACATTCCTGTTATTTTTGCTAAATAAATTTAATATATTCATAACATTACTGTAACAGTTTAAATTACTTACCAATATGTTAAATTTCTACCCAGAGAAAGTGCACCATAATTTCTCCATGCCCCTCATGCCATGACACAGCCCCGAATTCCTGAGCCCATGTGTACCCCAGTAATGGGAACTGTTCCCAGCTTGCCTCCACCTCCCACAGCACCCTTTGCTGTGGGTCTCTGGGATGTGTTTGCTGATATTTACCAATAGAACAATTATTTTTCCTCCAAGTTCCTCCAATCTCGTCTGCTTAGAGCGTATGGTGGGTCTCCATGGCTGATATTTTCTCAAATAGGGCAAGACATCCAAGGCACATAGGAGATTACATTAGGGAGCTCACGAACACAATTTTAAAATAATTATTTATGTGCTTATTTTGCATTATTAGATACTGATAAGTAGGAAGTAAACCTTACGATTTTTAATATTATTTCTTAAAATGAAACTAAGTTTTTAAACGGTGAGTACTTACAACTTTGCTATAAAGAAGATCATTATGTTAACATAGTTCTTCTTCAATATCTACCAGGAACTGTTTCTAGGATTCCCCAGCGAATACCAAAATCCAAGGATGCTCAAGTTCTTTACATATGGCATAGTATTTGCATATAACCTGTGCACACCCTCAGTTATACTTTAAATCATCTCTAGATTACTTATAATACTTAATGCTATGTAAATATTATGCAAATAGTTGTATTTTATTGTTTAGGAAATAATGAAGTGAAAAAGTCTGCACATGTTGAGTACAGACACAACTATTTAATATAATCTTTTTGTTCTATTGTTTGTGAAATCTGTAGACAAGGAACAAGGATAAAGAGGGTCCCCGTTCCTTCTGGTATTTGGAGTGGTAGGTGAAGGCCTTAAGGATGACGTCCAGAGCCCCCTGAAACTGGCTGCATTCTCCTCTTCCAGCGGTGCTGTTCCTCCTCCTCATTGTCAAAATGCTGATAAACAGACCTATGGATAGTGGCAAATAAATATGCGGACTCTGGAATTAATTACATAATTAAAATTAGCAGGAAATTCAGATTCAAGGGGAGGAGATAAAAATGCTACCTCTTGATGGGCATGATGGCAAGGTTCAGGAAGAACACACTGGATAAACAATATTGCCTTGGGCATTTTTGAGTAGCACAGACTATGATAATCTATTTCACGGATTTCATATTCATTTCATACACATACATGTAGGCTATGTTTAGGATAAATAGACAAGACAAAGTCTCCTTCTTGTCTCCTGCAGCATCACAAGGACTGAGAATAATCCGGTTATTATTGGCTGTGCAGCCGAGGAGGGTGTGAGCCTTGATATCCTCCTTCTCACCTGCAGAAAGTGCTAGAGAGCAGAGGTGGCCAGAGTAGGACAGGATGACGAGCACACAGTGGACCTGGCTGCATGGCTGCGCAGGCCAATCTTCATCTCCTTGGCCAGACACTTCGGCCCCTGGAGCAAGTTCCTGTGACCATGTACTGTTCTTCCTCCAGCCTCTGCCTCCAAGGGGAGCCTGAAGCGAGAGAGGACAGTGGTGAGTACAGTGCAGTGTGACACCCAGAAGGTCCTAGACTTGGGTGGACCTGGGTTTGAATCCCAGCTCTACCAACATTGGGAGTTTGAAAACTTACTTGGCTCTGATACTCAAGTGCTTTCTCCATTCAGTGCTAAGAAGGATAAAAGTATCTGTCTCCTAGAATAGTTGTGGGGATTAAATAAAACAGTGTAGACAAAATTGCACATGTGAGTATTTGTGGCACGGGATACCAATCAGACTTTGAAGAGTCTCGTCTATCATCTAGTGAAAACTGCGTACACTGACTCATTTAATTCCTGCAGGTTTTATTTTCATTTTATCATGTTGAAAGGGCTCAAAGAGATTAAGTTAAATACATTGCCCAGGACCAGGTAGGTTGGATCCGAAGCCAGGTTTTCTAATTCTGTCTTAGAGCCATTCCTGCCTTGGACAGGGCTTCCCAGGAGCCAGAGTGGTACAGATCTTAGTGAGGGCGCTGGGCAACAGAAAGGACCGACTGGGCTTGGCTGTGTGTTCTTTCACGGTTCCCTGCAGATAGCCCAGGAGTTACTGGCCATTAACCCCGAGGTCAGGGAGAAAACAGCTGCTGTCATTCCGGGAAGAAATGTGCTTATTTATTAGAGCCAGTGTGAAAACAGCAGTTCCTGTGGGAAAGGGTGGCCGGGGGTTGTGGACAGAGCGGAGGAGGTGAGAAAGAGGGAAATGGGGCTGAGGGGAAGCGTAGGATCGGCATGGGAGCCTTTAACCTTTCTAGAACATACTGTGTGCTCGTTTCACTCTGGACCTTGGCACATGCTATTCTTTTTTATCAATGTTCATTTACGCTTCAGTATACATTTTTGAGCTCCTCTGGGGTGCCCATTGCTATTGTGTGTGTTGGGGCCAGAGCACTGAACAAGAAAGACAGGTGTGTATCCTCTGGGGGAAGATGAAAAGAAAACACATACATATAAACAAACCAGTGAAAATAATCATTCACACTTGTGATCTAATAATCACGAAGAAGAAAATAAACAAAGTAATTAGAAAAACAGAATAACTTGGAACAATTCCCAGACCTAATTACCCTCAGACAGCACCTTCTCTGAGAGGTCCTACCCCAACGAGTCTGAGACAGACGAGCCCCTAACAGGCACGCACGGGGCACCTGTTAACCATCGTCCCCACACTGACACTGCAGTTTGTTTATTCCTCTGTCTCCTACCTAGCTGGGGTGCTCCTTCAGGACAAAACTAGGCACTGTGCCTGGCACCTGTAAGGTGTCTCACACAGCACTGGTGTTCAACAATTGCTTGGTGAACGAATGGGTGAAGGGATGGATATGTTTGTTGTCCTTAAGGGTGAGACATTAAGCTTAATCTGGTGCAGCTTTGAGCTCAAAACTATGATCTGGTTGTATTCTTCCTAATTGTTACTGGCTGTCCTATTTTTTTAAAAACGTATTTTGGGGTTTTAATGAATGGGGATGATTTGCACTGCAGCATATGGCTACTTTAATTAAGCAAAGGGTATCAGTTTAGTAGCATAATAGTGTGTAATTTATCAGGCCTCATGTGTATTTTGTAACTATAGCACATAGGCTATATAAATCTTTCTGTACTTGGGCAGAGTGGGGGGGAAGAACCTTACTGACCTGATAATGCAAGACAATGCATGTAAAAAATCAGCTGAACACTGATTTCCCTAGACAAGGTAGATATCATGCCAGAGTCATAAGGGGATTCTCCAGGCACCCTGAAAAACAGGAACTAGGGAGAGAGTAGGTGTGGGAAAGAGCTACCAGCCACTGAAGAGGTTGGACTCCGGAGAAGGAGGTGCCACGTGGAGAGCTGGAAAGCAGTCCTGGACCCCTGGGCTTTGTTGCTAAGCATTTCCCCAGGACTGGAGAATTAGAATCCATCTGGGAGAAGGAGAAGGCTAAAAATAAGGCAAGGGGAAACCAAATTTAGCACTGGATGGAAATCCAGTAATACGGAGAGAAGGCAAAGATATGCCAAACTGGTGAGGAACAGCGGCAGACAGAGCTGCGGATAGAGAAGTTGTTTGTGCCCAAGGCTTCTCAGTGACCAGGATACCTTTGACTCTGAACAAGGAGCCCTGGTTCTCTGAGAACAGTAGCATGGTGATGGGGAGGAAGTGTTCTTGCTTCACTGCTCCCCTTCACCATGGACAGGGATTCCTGGGCCCAGGGCAGCAGCACTGCATGCTCAGGGTGTGAGCCTCCAGGTAGAGGGTACCTAGGCAAAGGAAAACCCTAAACACTGGATTTTCTCTGACAGAGCTCACAAAACTGTCTTCCAAAGCCAAGTCTGCATTTTACCTTCTCTTTGGGAGCAGAGCAGAGAAGGAACCAGGGAGACAGTGGACCTGGTACTGGCTCTGGGAGAATCACATCAGACTGAAGCATTCAGCGCAGGACACCGGCAGCAGTGGAGGGTCAGTGTGTCATACACCTGCTATGACCCTTCATGTTAATCCTACGTGGAACCTACCAGTTACATCTTTCTTTCATTCATATATTCCAGAGACTCAGAAGCGATATATGTTAAAGGATAGCGATGCGATGGGTCTGGGGGGACAGAGCATTTGTGCACAGGGCACCCCAGCCTGTTCTGATTGCACACCTTTTAGGTGTGCAATCAGAGGAGACCAGACTGTAAAGTAGACCCAGTGCACATGTAGAGAAACTTGAAGGCTTTATATACACATTTTAAAATGTGAAAAGTATATTTATTGGTGTTTATTATCTGTAAGGAGCTGTACTTGGGAGACCGGCCTGTATCTGGAAGTATCAGGCTCCGTTAAATGGCCATCTGGACAGCTCTCCTGGCTGCTAACCTAGCACACTGGAGCCACTCCTCTCACCTCTCTGTCCCAGTGACATTTTCCCCTATTCCCAGTGGAGGGCACCCAGTCATCTAAGCCATAAAGCTAGTAATTCTAGATAAGATAGAAAACTATAATGAATATTTAAATTTTTAAATCATCCCTTGCAGTATCCTGTCTCTCAATTAATGTGTCCCATCATTTTCAGTTATAATTCCCTTTGCAATCTCTCGACTCCTTACTGGTATTCTTCTCGGAGTATTTCAGTAGTGGCCCAGCTGAGACCTCTCCCTCCTCCGGGTCTGTACTTCTTAATTTCAGAACCCTTACTATCACCATGAAATTTCTTACTTAAAATATGCCAAGGACACCATGAGCTAAAACATGGCAGCTGTTGAGTTTTTTAACTTTTACAACTTTTTCTTCAAATGGAATCACAACACGCAAAAAGTAAAAGCCAAAAACACTATTAAGACCTTTCTGGTCTATCTTGGTCCTTACCCCAAGTACTGTTGAGATGGCCCAGTGCTCCCACAAATATAGTTTGAAACCCCACAGAAAGCATCCATACCCTATAGCATGGCCCCTGAGCTGGCCCAGCCATCCCTTCTGTCCACTTCCTGCCTCTTTCTCCCTGTTTGGGTCCCAGTACACTTATCTGCCAGCAGGTCTTCCCATGCACCCGCTGCTCCTCATCTCAGGGCTTTTGCCCATACCACACCCCAGATGGACCCTCCCACTCTCCACTCATCCATCAGCTACCTGACTCCATCATTTCCCCACAGCCTTCTCTGAATTCCTAAGATGGGTCAGCTGTCTCAACTCTGTTCTCTGAGCCTCGTGGTTGTAACTGGAGCCCTGTGCCGGTTTGTACCCTCTTCCCCAGGAAATGATGAGTTCTTCAAGAATAAAACTGTGGCCTGTTCATCTCTGCCTCCTAGCTCAATGCCCATGCCTGTCACCTCGTGAATGTTCAAGAAATCCTCACTGTACTGAGTTCTGAACTGTAGACGCTATGTCTCTGATTTCAGTTAGATTTTCCAGAGTCTTGCTTCTTGCCCTTGATCTCAAGTATCACAGAATACTCCTCACACCGAATGGCAGCAGCCCGAGCCCTGGCTGACGGATGGCTACTTCTCTCATTCTCTCCCTCTGCCTGGCTTAAAGGAAACACCAGCCTTATCACAGACAAAATGACTTATCAAATACTTGGGCGTGGAGCCAGTGAGCGGGGCTGTGGAGCAGTGGAAAGAGGCCGCGCCAAGACTCCAGCAGACATGCAGCTTTTGAAGGAAAAGCTGAGCGATGAGGCATTGGTTTCAAGAGCCAGATGTGGGCTTCATCATCCCTCTCATCTGACAGGAGCTGGTCCAAGTCTGAGTCAACAGGCACTTAATGCAGAAGATTTAGAGGACAGAAGGCCCCTGGTCACTGTGTTCTTTGGGGGAGAAAGTGACTAAACAGGAACTTCATACTAGTTATAAAAAATAACGGTATTGTGAACTGAATCGTGTCTCTCTGAAAACTTACATGATGAAGATCTAACTCAAAATCATCAGGATGTGACTATTTGGAGACAGGCTCTTTAAAGAGATAAAATGGGATCATTAGGGCAGGCTCTAACCCATTAGGACTGGTGTTCTTCTTACCGGAAAGGGAAATTTAGATGAAGGTGTGTTTACAGAAGAAAGACCACGTGGGGACACAGTAAGACCGTAGCCATCTGCAAGCCACAGAGAGGCCAGGGCAGAAATCAGCCCTGCCAACGACTCCATTTCAGATTTTGGGCCTGCTGAAGGCTGAGACAATACATTAATTCCCTGTCTGTGTTCTCTGTTAAAGCAGCCCTAGCAAAACAATGCAAGTGGGTATGGACTGGGGGTCTCAAATGCCCCTGCAAGCCTTTTTGGACTATGATACGCTATGAAGTGTCACTGCCCCTCCTTTTGGAAGACTCCCTGAGACCCACAGGCTGTGTCCATGTTACCCACTCACGTAACACCCGTTTCAGGTGGCTCTCTTCAAACCCTGATGGAAGGGCTCCATCTCCCCACTGGGCTCTGAGGTCCTGCCCAGGGTGGGGACTGTGTCCTTTAGATTGAATGAATTGGAGTGGGCTCTGCCCCGGATCTTTCCCATGAGCATCTCGGGCTCTGCCTTCCTGCCAGAGTCTGCTCTGAAGACTGAGCCGGCCTGGGGTTCTCAGCTCCGCTCTTTCCCATCCTTTTCTGGTGACTGGCAGTGCTAGTAAACAGCCCGCAGAAGTAGGAGGTTGGAGATGCACTGGCCTAGATGAGGAAGTGAGGTGATTGGCTCACGTCCTGTCAGCCGATTATAATTGGCTGACTGTCTGAATGGGGTTCTGGGATTGGCTCACCAGGCAGTAAATGAGGCTAATGAATCCCTTCCCTCTGGGCGTTTCCTGCGAGCTTTCCGGCTGGGTGAGCAGGTTGGCTGCCGCGGAGTTTGCTGGGTCTGGTCTCTTTGCTGCAACCTCAAGGTGCATAAACTGCTCACAGCCCTGAGCAATAGCCCGTCTTTAGATCTGCTGAGAGGCGGATTAGCATGGGTCAGTAGGGGTCCGCACAATCTTTCTCTGTTGGGCAAACAAAACAACTATTGATATTCCTGCTTTATGGATTTAAAACCTTTAACTAAAGGCGGCACACCAAACCACCCAAATTCTAGGCCTTGACTTGCCCCCTTTTTCTTTGCCTTCTTTCCTGGGGTTAGGCCTGTATTTTCCTTTATCTGCAAATTAAAATGTAAGCTGTAGCCTGGGCCCTCAAGTCAGGAAGGACTGGCAGGTAGGATGACTCCGCCCTCAGCAACCTAGAAAGCTTCCCACTATTCCAGCAGCCACAGTAACATTTGTGATAACAATAATGAACATTATTGTTGTTATTTACATATTGAAGCTGCTAACAACCCACATACTGTAATTCTGGAAATCATTTTAACCTTCCATTAATAGGCATTTTGCACTTGTCCTCAAAATCCTGGTGTAATTTACATATTTTTTATTCAGATGTTGTAAGTTGCAGATTAGGAAGGGATGAGATGGGAGGCTCAGTGACTTGGGCAAGAGCAGAACATGAGCGTAAGTCAGAGTTTATGGTTCCCTTAGACAAGGAGGAGGTACCACCAGTGTGGATATTGGGCAGTATATTTGTGGAAGGGAGGTCATCCACTGAGTTTAACTCTGTGGACTAGAAAATCAGTGCCCAGCCCTCCTTTCCTGGCCCACTTGATAGCAAATGTTACTTCAGCTCACTCCAGAACAGCTTACCTGTTTCCTGAGTTGCTCCTTAGCTGGACAGGCCCAGGTAAGGTGTCAGCCCCGCCTGCAGTGAAGGATGCATCAGCCAGGATGTGATTTCCACCTCCTCTCTTCTCTGCTGCTCTTTGCTCTTGCGGAACTCTGCAAAGGAGAGGCTACTTGTCTGTCATTTCCTCTTAGGGACTTTTTTGGGCTCCCTGCTCCTCTCCTTCCCGCTCTGTTTGGATACAGCTCCCTGGAAAGCAACCCTTAGGCGATTCCTTTGTAACAAGGCTTCAACACCAGAGCTGCTGTGATTATGCCTTGGATCCCTGATCCTTCTGTTCCTTTCTGGACCGCCTGTTATGCCAAGTAGCTCTTCTGTGTGCTCATTTCAGCCTTGTGAAGCTAGCACTAATCAAAGCAGGCAAATCACTGCTTTGTAGAAAATGAAACATGGGCTGAGGAAACAGGTCTATGTGATGGGAAATGGTGCCGGCCTGAGTTTCGGGGCTCCGGGTCGGAGTATGTGTAGCAGCCCCCTCTTACAACCCTCAACACGCTGTGGTGGAGTGTGTCATGACAGCATCTTTTCTGCAGGTCACAGGAGGCTCAGGGCTTGCTTCAAGACAGTCACACATGGAGAAATCCTTCCTACCACTTGACACAATGTCTGGTACATGGTAAGCGCTCTGTAAATGATTGTCAACACTACTGATAGTCTAAAAATTGGACAATGCAAGCAACAGGCTTCATCTTTCTTTCCCACAGACCATTGAGATAATCTGTCCCGTCTAGGTTCAGATGGTCTATCTCAAGTGATAAGAAATCTCCACTGACTGTCAGAATGGATGCTGAGGAATCCTGTGGGGAGGACTGGGTAAGGAGCCAGTTTCTGAAACTTTTCTGATATAATAGCTTGCATGATCACTCTGACATCTGCTTATTTTCTTCTAAGCATTTGACTTGAGATTTTTCTGAGTTGAATTTAAATTTTTTCTAGTAACAATGCAGATGACAGCTTATATTGGTTAGTTAGGGTTGTGGTACAGATACTCACAAACGTGTTGCTTAAGACATCATAAATGTATCCTCTCCGTTCTTGAGGCTGAAAATGCAAAATTAAGGTGTTAAAAGGACCATGCACCTTCAAAAGTCTCTAGAAGGGTCCTCGCTGGCTTCTTCTGGCTTTGGGTAGCTCTAATGTTCTTGGACTGTGGCAGCATCACTGCAATTGCTGCCTCTGCAGTCAGAAGATCATCTTTCCTGTCTGTCCTCTCTTCCTCTACAGACTGTAGACCTATCAGATTAGAAATCAATCCTGCTTCAGAGTGATCTTACCTTTGCGTAGCTAGTTATATCTGCAATAGTTCTGTCTCTAAAAAAGTTCACATGGCAAGGAATTGGGCACTGGGACTTCACTTAATCAACTTTTTTGGGAGACATAATTCAGCCCATACTAAGGCTCTTTGTTCATTGCAAGAGGCGTTAAACCCAGCAGGGCTCGGGGGCACATATCAAGCTTTACTATCAGGTATGCATTCTGGAAAGAAGACCGTGTGGCCAGGTTCCCTTCCTCTTACTGCTTACGTCGAGTGGCTCTTCACTAGTCAGGGACACCTGTGCTCTGCACACACATCCTCCCTGTCCCGCATCCCACACAGTGCTTGGCACAGAGTGCGTGGCACGGTCAAGAGCTCTGCGTGGGGTCACTGCTCCGGGCAGAGTCCCCGCTGCCCTCAGGGAGCAGCTTCCTGAAGTGGACATGACTTATCCACTGGCCTTGTCCTCTCTGAACAGCTCCTTCCTCCCGCTCCCACACTCCACTGCCAGCAAAGGTTATCGTGGCAGGACGGTGCAGACAGTCTCAGAATCCACTGTCTGGAGGATGGGGAAATTGACTGAGGCTGAGTGATAGTCACAGCTGAGCAGCAAGGAGGGAGCTAAAAAGAGAAACAGCAGAGCACGAGCCTGAGTTTGGGGACAGAGGCAGGGATGGGTGGCCCTGACTCCTACAGCAACTGTTCCCTGGAGGTGGCCCTGGCTTTGCTTCCAGAGTGCTCCTCTGGTTTACTGGGAGTGTCTGGCCCCAGTGCAGAGCCACACACAGCAACTTGTACCCCTGAAAGAAGGGGCAGAGCAAGCTGTTAAGTGGGCTCCTTCCCTCTGCCAGGTTATTCCTGGTTTGCCTCAAAAGGAGGCAGATACTGACTTTCATTATTTTTTTCCAGGAAGATCTAAATGTTCGCTAATTAACCTATTAGTTGTAATTATACACCCCAAGTCATTTATTTGCTAATCTGAAACCCAAACACCCTGGATTAAAGGGAAAGAATCCCCACCAACCCCCACCCTTTTTCTTCCCCTGTGAAATGTTTAAATCAGTTGTCAACACACAGCGAATCACAATAATAAAAAGAGTGACATCTGATCAGAGAGCAGGAGAGTGGTGAGGAAAACAAAGCCCAGTGCAGTCAGAGCTGAGCGAAGCTCCTCCATATTCATCAGGGAGGAGGGGACAGCTGGGGAGCTCTGGTACCGCCAGTGAGCAGGCCCAGAGCTGGTTGCTGGGCGGAGGCCCTGCTCCCTACCCTGAGTCTCAAAACCCGCACCCGTGCGCAGGACTTCATGGCTCAAGTCAGACCTGCACTTGCCATAGGGCGTGGCTGTCAGCTTCCATCTATCTGTCCTGGCACCCTAGATGGGCGAGGTTCATTCCTGAGACACAATCTCTGAGTGTAGTCAACATGAGCCAGGAAAGGCCTGCTCCCCATATTTATATTTGCTTTGTGCAAAATTAAAGGATTCTAGTAAGTTGTAAGCACCACAAATATTATTTCCACACAGCTGATGATAACTCAGATGTAGATGTGACAAAAAATAAGATATGCTGTTATTACACATAATTCCTTAGGTGTAGGCTACAATTCCACATTTTCTATACTATAGGAAAGCCTGCCAGAGTAAAAGGGAGAGAGAATACAGTTATCGCCATTCTTAAATTTATTTCTACAAATAAACATAAATCTGAAAGCTAGTTTTAGCCAACATTTCTTGTTAGCGTCTATGCCAGACATTATGCTAAGTGCTTGGCATTTTGGCTATTTAATTCTTATAACAGTCCTTAGGAGGTAGACACAAGGATTACCCCACTGTACAAACTAGTAAACTGAGGTTTAAGGAAGGGAAAGCACTTGTCCAGAGTCACAAAAACAACTGGCAGTAGGGACAGAATTCAAATTCTGTTGGGCTACCAGAGTGTTGGCGCGAAACAACTTTGCTCTTCTGCTTTCCAGGGTAAATGTACCATCAAGCAAGCAGTTTGTAATGCTGGTACTTACTTCGGGGAGCAAATTACTTGTGAAGGCTCTCACAAAGCAAAGCTGTGGTTGCAAAGGAAGCGCCTGACCTCTCTGCAGAAAGGAAGGGCAGAGATGCCCTGGGAGTTAAAGGTCCTCCAAGGCTCCAGGGACCTTGCAGGGGTGGGGCTCAGGCCAATGGCCCCTCCCACAACTCCTGTCTTGTCCCGGTAATCCCGAAGCTTTCTGGCATCCTGGAGCAGATTCATTGGAGGCCATTTTTCTACAGCCAGAAAGGGACTGGTAGTGGTGATTTTTTCCTAGCAGTATAAATTTCAGCTCCACCTCAGATTACCAGGTATTAGATTCTCCGGAGATCAGGAAACCTAGATCCCTCACATGTGCAGTTCATAGCAGGGTTTGTATTTAGTCTAAGATTCTAATGCTGCTTCTGATCTGATAGGAGGCAGAGCTCAGGTAGTAATGCAAGGGATGAGGGCTGGCTGTAAATACAGATGGAAATTTAACTCCTTTGCTTGTCTGTTGTTCACGTCCTGCTGTGTGGTTCCTAACAGGCCAGGGACTGTACCAATCCATAGACTAAGGATGGGGACCAGTGCCTTATCAGAGGTGACCAAGTGTTTCTGCATGATCAGGCAAGGAAAAGGATAAGGACAAAGGAGACTGGTGTTACTTGCAACCACAGAAGATGCTTAATGAGTGAGCAGTGAAGAGTCTCAGCAACATGCATGCAAATCACGACCTCCGGGCCAAAGTCAGGAGCTGGGGGGCCTGTCACGAGACAGTCAAATAATATGAATGCTGGTAAGGGTGGAAATCGGGAAGACTGCAACAGGTCTGGGCCCTGAGCATTTTGATAAGAGATTCAAGAAGATTGAGACTTCCCTAAAACTGAACGCAAAGTTTGTGTATTTACAAGTTGGGGTACATGGTGTACAACTTCCCCTCACGACCCTGATCAGATTCTCACTGGGGCAGGACCCTGACTGAAGAAGAACCTCTCTCCCAAACTGCTCCCAGCCGGGGATGAATGTTTGATTAATGTGGCATGGTAGCATTTCTGGAGCCATGGAGGCCAGGACTACCTTCCTCCAAATTCAGGAAACAAAACAAAATGTAGTGTTTTCCCACCTGGAGGAACAGAGCAGCCCCCTTTTTAGACAATGTTCACGTGTGCTGACTCTTTTCCTCTGGCTCTGTGGGAAGCCTAGAACATCTTGACCCTAACATTCTCAGCAGACATCCCGAAGCTTGGTGAGTAGAGTTGAGAAGGACTGAACATCAAATTACCCATTTAATTATTTTTTAAAAACTCTGTCTTTATGGTCCTGTTTAGGGATACACTAATGGAAAACGATGTTGACTAAGTAAAGATGTTCCTTTTTGGATTGGCAAGCAGGATGCATTGGTAACTCCAGACCTGTCTGTTTCTGGGTACCAGAGGGTGGTCTTGTTTTGGGTCATTGCTCTGCCCTAAGAAGCATGATAGCTTCCTCTCTGACTGAGACTTATCAATAACCATCTTGTTCCAATTCACCCCATTGTCTAAACAGTCCCCACATGTCTAGGCACTGAGTTAAATCCAGTAATGTCTCATTTGTCTGGACGTTGTTAGAATTTTAAAAACTAACTGGATAACTGAAACGTATCATTGCAGGAGCCAAAGTCATTTTTTAAAAAACATCATTTTAGTGTAAAATTTTCAAACACATATTCATACTTTCTTTCCCCCCGAAACACAGACTAGGATGCCCATTTTGTGGGACTATGATCTACCTCTGTACCTGCCTCAGGGCTGCTCTGCCTCCCTCCCTAGTTAAGACCAGCATCTTTACGCCCTCCAGTCTATGTGACCCCCTTTGTAATTGCCTCGCTGCTTTCTTTTGCTGGGCAGTTTCTGCCCGTGTTGCACAGGCATTGGGGAGCTCCAAGACCTGCTGAGTGAATTGATCTGAGATGTGTCCTCGAGGTCCTCCACAGGACCCACAGGAGTCAGATGCCGGGCATAACAGAAGGAGGGCTTTAGGATGTCTAAACAGAGTGATCAGGGGTTTGGGGCTAAACCGGAGCATCTCGCTGACTGATGATAATACCGTGCATGTTTCTTCTGCTGAGGGACACTAAACCCCTCAGCCGTTTTTGGCAAGCTCGACATCATGGAGGAAGGAAGAGTTTACTGACCATCTATTCCATGGTAAGCACTCTGATGGGCTGTGTGAACACTACTGCTTTACTTAGCACTAGACCAGTGATGTAGAAAACATCTTCTCTATGTCACTGAGGAGAAAAGGAAAATTAAACATGGCTCTGAGTGGTCAGTTACAGAATCGAAAGACCCACTCAGGCCTGTCTGACATTAAGATTGATTGTCTTTTATATTTGTTATTCTTTTAAAAATTGTATTTTTTAATCAATAGAGTGTTACGTGAAACCCTATATAAATGAAATAGTGGTAGGGATCCCTTTGTTAAAGCACGCGGCTTTCCTAGGCTTCAAATTTCTCTTGGAACCCCAGAGCTTCATGGAACCTGGATTGAAAATAGTGACCAGATTCTTCATTTTTCAGAGGTGCACTAAAATGAGAGCATATGGAGTAGGAGTCCTCAGGTGTGACCTGAATCGAGCTTCCCCAGCCATTCCCAAGAAAGGGAACGGGTATGCAGGCTTGGTGCAGAACCTTCTATAAATGAGAGGTGCATCTCCACCCAAGCTAGCTCCCCTGTCTTGGTTCTCCATCACTTAGCTTTAAAAGTTTTGCAATTTGATTGCATTTGGTGACACTGATGGCACAGACCTCCAGGCATTCTCTGGTGACCCACTGGGGGGTGCAGATTCAGCACCCCAGGACCTGGGTTTTCTCTAATTTCCCTGCCCCATATCACAAATATTGGAGGGCAAATCTCATTCCACTAGAATATCTGATTGGTGTCTATAATGTGACTCCACACCAAGACTCAAAAGCCAAAGGACACGGGAGGCCTGGAGAGGTAGTATCAGTGACCTGTGTAAGTGGGTGTTGGCACAGAATTGGTTGTGGGTGCCATGTAGATTAATAAGAAGAGTTAATTAGAAGAGTCTTTGAGAGTTTGAGTCCCAAAATCAAAGGGGATTCTAATTCTACCTCTTATACTTCCAGTGGTATGACTTAAACAAGCACTTTGATCTCTCTAAGCCTGAAAGTTCCGAGCTGCAAAATGGGAATAAAAGTGTCTCTCTAATGGGACTGAGTGAGGGTTACATGGAACGCTGCATATAAAGTGCTTGGCACAGCATCTGATATATAGCAGGAAATCACTAATGGGTAGTTGTTGTTTGATTGCTGTAGTTATTCTTTAATGCTGTATAATCATGTAAGGAGTAGGAAGGAATGGGAGGAAAATGAAAGCAAGCTACAAAAGCCATAAAGCTAACTAAAGGCTGATGGTAATGTTAGAATTGGTTTACAAATGATTAGTATAATCGACCACATTTTATTAGGAGACCTCATCTCTGTGCTTGCTCTTCGGACAGAGTTCCTAATGGCTGGGCATCTGAATTTGGACACATGGGAAAGGTTACCAAGTCCTCAACCGATAGATAGTATTGATTTATGGAACCAGATTAATGTTGTTTTATTAGAGAGGAGAAGCGAAGGTAGGATCTGGCAGAGGAGTGGGCACCCGCACAGGAGGCTGAGAAGTAATGGCCAGCAAGGTGCAAGATGTCCTCAAGGCCAGGAGAGAGAAGGATTTAAGGAAGGAGAGGCCAACGGCATCGAATGCAGAGTGAGTCTGAGAAGCCCCAGAGGGGGGAAAGCGTGCAACACTGAGCCTACTGGGACCTCAGTGGGGGAGCAGGCCCTGAGGGGCCACAAGGAGAAGGGTGACCCCATAATCAGTGCAACAACTCTTTCGAGATACTTTGCTGTGACTTCTCCCTGATGACATAGATGGATGTGAGTCCTGTTGGTAATCACGGTGATAAGAAGAAAGGTGGCCCCTGCTGACCCATCAGTTAGGAGCCGTTCACTGGATCAGGTTTCCTTTGGAGGGGAGAACAAAATTAAAAGCTCAGAAGACTTGGGGACAGCCTTTCCGCAATTTGTTGTGTGACTGGTGTCAAGGAAATGGTCTAGTGGAGACGAGCTTTTCTGTAGCAGAATGTTCCTCCCCGCTCATACTGAACCACCCATGGCCCACGTCAGACAGGGACTGTCCAGACCCCTGGGACCCTGGCCTGCCCTGGAGAGCTTGGGGACATGCTCTGTCTGGTCTTAGTGCTGCAGCCCTGGGATGGCTGGCCTGGGATGAATCAGACAGCTAATTAGCACTCTGTCCCCGCCTAAAAGGAGCCAGAGACGTTTAAATTGCTCCCAAGAGGGAAGAAAGGAGGCAGAGGAAAGGGAGGTAGGGAGATTAACAGGGTTACATCAGAAAAACAACATCATGCAAACAGCCTCACCTCCCAAGCTGGTGCTCTTCCTCCAGTACGAGTGGCAGAGGTAGCTGGTGCCGCAGGGACCCTGAGGTAAGACACCTGTGTCGGCGCCTCACTACCAGCATGACGGATGTTGTCCCCTGCTCATGGGAGGACAGAGCTGCTCTCTGCGTGGTTCATCTGGTGTCTAACATCTCTTTAGTTTCCCATCACGCAGCCCTGGAAATTCATTATAGAATGTCAACAACTGGCTTAGTTGCAGTAAACTGATGTTTCAGCTCAGTAAAATAACGCTGGGGCAGGGGCCAGTCTTGTGCTAACCTGGGGGCTGAGGGATCAGTGGATGAGGGGATGAGGGATCAGTGGAATTCACAGCATAGTGTTTTAGGGAAGACAGAAATAGGGAAACTTCCGGATAGTTTGAGGCTGCCACTAATTGGCTGCCGGATCCTGAATGGACGACTCACTTTCCTTCTTAGGGGCTGGGCAGTGTGAAAGCCTCAATGACCTGTCGCTCCAGCTGCTGGAGTCCAGGTCCAGCACCTTCTGGCCAGCGTCTGCTCTCCTTATGGAGGCGTGCCTCTTGTTTCCACGTTCACTTCGTCTTAACTTTTGACAGTCTGGCTTTTCCGTTGATCAGTTCTGTGTGGGCAAACGTAAGGAGAAAGAAACTGGAGGTGGGAAGAGGAACGTGGTAATTATTCATTTGAGAGATGAGGAAGGGCGCCTCAGGGCTGTGATTAGAGACACCTGCCCACAAAGAGCACGGCGAGTACGCAGGTCTTGGCCTTAGTGGTCATTTCTAATAAAAAGAAGAGGCTCTGTTGGGGAAACGGAAGAGGGCAGGGAGTAGACAAAATAAACCAAAGCATTACCCAGCATCAGAAAATAAGGGGGTGCTAACACAGACACATACACGCGCACACACACACACACACACACACATGCACGCACTCACATGCACACACATGCACGCATGCGTGCACTGTGATGGGGCTATGAAGTGGACAGAGAAGCCAAATGAGAGTTCCCATGGCTAAAGGTGGAAAAGTTTGAATAAGAAAATAAAGGAAGAAAGATTGGACCAGTACTCCAAGACTAAGGCAGATATTTATGCATCTACACTAATATAATTAAATGATTGTATATATATATATATACATTTTGACATCAATGAAGAAGATAAATCTAGTTTCTTGTACACAAGAATTCCAAGTCATTTATGTCCGCACTGCCTTCACGGAGTGGGAATGTTGTCTCCCCTCGCTGCAACCGTGGGCTGTACATGATAACTTCCTTCCAAAGAGTATACTATAGTAAAGGACAGAAAGAATGATTTAAGGGTGAAGCATTTGATGTACGCCACCTCAGATGACCCAGGTCACCCTCAGTAGGGTTAAGCTATACTGATAATGTGCCATCCTGATACAAAGCAGTGACTATGATACTTAAAACCTGTGTGGTGTTCCTTCAAGGGCATCGCCTCGGTATAATCACGAGGAAAACAGCCGACAAGTCCCAAGGGGCATCCTACGGATTGTGAAACCAGTGCTCCTCAAAATACATCAAGGTAAATAACCACACCGCTAACCTCTGTAAGTTCATCAAAACGAACAGTTTATGCTCTCATTGATTGATCATTATTTGTTCCATGCCTAATTCTTGTCACCTGAACAACTATTTCTAAAATAACAATATGCAATATATTAGGTAGTGCTAATTTCCTACTTTTTTTTGAAATGCTGTATCATTTCTATCTTTTGTTTTGTCTCATTTAAAAAAAAAATCCAGTTACTGACAGTGAGAATAATCCAAAGAACTGTCAAGTCTAATGAGAATTTAAAAAGACACAGGACTAAATGCAATGTGGTTTCTTAGAATGATCTTGGAACAGAAAAAGATCAGAGTAACTAACAATGTTTCAATATTGGCTCACTGAAATAAATGCACCATACCAGAAGAAAGTATGCATAAGAGGGGAACGGGGTGGCCAGTATAAAGAAAATTCCATATTATCTTTCTGATTTTTCTGTGAATCTCCAAATGTTTTTTTAAAAGAAATTTTACTTAAAATTAAGCCCAAATATGCACTTCTAATTCAACGATGTGACTAGCTCAAGCCTAAGTAGAGCTGCTTTGTAAATTTAAAATTCTGCTTGAGTAAAGGATTGTGGTGGGCTGTGCTAATTGTCTCACTAAATTTTATTTCTTATGTAGGCAAAATGACATTTTTAATTCACAAGGATAATGTACCTGGCTAAGAACATTATTTTCTTTTAATTTTCTTGCAGCAAGTGGACACAGTTCTGGTCAAAAATATCTCCAGGAAGAACTTGTCTTCTGGATTGAAAAAGGAAATCTTTATTAGCAGGGAGTCGTTTGCCCACTTATCCCTTCCCTTTCTTCTGCCTACAGTTAGGACTTGTGGGCTGGAGGAGAAACATCCATCTCCTGCCCGTGACAACCGGCATCCCACTTGCACATCACAGCGGCAGAGCAGAGCGGCAGAGACACCCTGATCCCTGGACACTGCCAAATGGACACATGCGCCCTGGATTGCCTGTGCCCAGGCTTATTATTAGTGAATCCTATAAATCCTTAGTTTTTAAAATGCTGCAGTGGTTGCGTGTCTTAGTTACTTTTCTCTCATTGCTGAGACAAAATACCTGATGCCCAAAGCTAGAGAAAGAAAGGTTTTTTTAGCTCACAGTTTGTAGAGATTTCAGGCCATAATCAGCTAGCTCCAAGGCAGAGTGGCTTTGGTGCCCACAAGGCACCGGAAGTGACAAGGGAGAGGAGACCAGACCCTTTCTATCCCTTACATCTTATGCAGGGTAACTGCCCTAGGACAGGTGTGGCACTAACACTTTTAATCCTAGCCAGAACTACGCCAGACTAATTAGTGGAGTGACTTACTGATCCCTTAATCCCAGCACCACACACACTAGATTCAGCCACTTCAGAAAAAGTCCTATGACTGCATGAGACTTTGGAGGGAAATCTAGCAGCAAACAATAGCATTGGGATTTTTACTATTTGCAGCCAATGCTATATTACCAATTAAACAACAGATCTTAGGCAAAATTAGAATGAAGACAATTATAAACCAAAATTATATGCCGGGCAGTCTCAGTAGCAATGTTAAGAAGGATAAAAGGAAACAAGTTGTTAACTTTGGGGAAAGAAAACCAAGTTTTAGAACAAAGGCAATGAACTATTGAGCATTGGTATTGAATCTTTTTTACTGTGATGTATTTACTTTGTCCCGGGGCTTTCAACAATGAGGTGGGTCTATTTAGCCCACATATCAAACTTGTACAGTGTGAGCATGAATCTTTTGTTGAGCGATAGGAGCATTCAGGCAGAGAGGCAAGGGAAACTTTTTCAAGATTACAAGACAAGTGAGGGGCAGAGCCATGGATGTTGTTCAGGGAAGCCTCCCAAGGTGCACAGGTGACTCTCTCTACTATTTTGGTCTACAGGGAGCTCAGATGTGCAGTGTAATGCAAGGAGAGGAGATGGTATGGAAATCAGAGAGCAGGTGCCACAGGCCTCAGCTTGGTCTGGAAGCTTCAGGGAGGAGACAGAGCAAAGTATTTCAATCTCTCCACAATAAACTGGGGTTCAGATGATCATGGAGAGCAGAGCATGTAACTGTGGCTTTCAGCCTAAAACGATATGCTAATTCCTAATGACCCGGCACTATGACATTAGGTAGCAATCTTCTGAGTGAGGGATACTGAAAGATAACAGTTTAGATTATTGGAGAATTTTATGAAACATTAAGTGTATTTGTCATTAAAAATTCAACAAACATCACTTAAACATATACTATGGAAAAGCATAATGTTAGGCAAAATGGGTTTCACAAATTAAAGCATAGTATGACCTGCTCCGTAGGAAGTCTCTGATTGCTTTCAATGATAAACTTAAGATTTTATTTTTCTTGGAAAAAAGGTAGCAAGCTCAGGACAGGTATGGTGGCGCCTGGACTTTCTTAGGGACCCAGAATCTTTCCATGTTTTCATTTATTGTAGGGTAAACCTGCATGTGAGGGCATAAAAGAACTGTTGGTCCTCCAGCATCACATCTGCGTCTTGAACAAGAAGATGAAGGGCAAAGGTCAAAGGGCGGAAGGGCACAGCAGCTGTATGTACGCCTCTTTCAGGGAGCTTTCCTGGGATTTTTGAAGTCAGAAGATCCTCTTACATATAATTGACAAAAATTGTGTTTCATGGGCTTGCCGAGAAGGCAAGCTAGAAAATGTGCTCATCTGACTCCGCAAACAAAATCCAGCTCTTGTTCAGAGAGTTGGAGGGAGAAGAATGGATGTGAGGTGAGGGCTAGCGCTGGGTGGCAGCCTGGGGTGGCAGCCTGGGGTGGCAGCCTGGGGTGGCAGCCTGGGGTGGCAGCCTGAGGTGCCTGGGAGGCAGCACGTTCACTCTCACCAGTGCACTGTTGTTTGCTGATTTTATTTTAGCCTAACTGGACAGAGCTGATGTAAACTGACTCTGTTAAGCATTATGGTAGACTTCACCTTCTCACCAGCAGTGCACAGAGTTCTGTTTTCTCCACATCCTCGCTAACATTTGTTGTCTTTCTTGTCTGTACGCTAATCACCATCCTAGCTGGGTAAGACGGTATCTCATGTTCTCCGTTGCTTTTCCCTAATAGGTTAAGCATGTTTTCGATGGCTATTTGAACTTCTGTTTAAAGAGATGTCTATTTATATCCTTGCCAATTTTAAAATTGGGTTTTCTGTTTTAAAAAATGTCTAGATATTAGCATTTTGTTAGATGGATAGTTTGCAAAAACAAATTATCACTGTATAGATCGCCTCTTCATTGTGTTTATGGTTCTCTCTGCTGGGCAGAAGCCTCTTAGTTTGGTATAATACCACTGGTCTGTTTGTGCTTTTATTTTCTGGCTTATGGGGTTTTACTTGAATAATTATTGCTTGAAATATTTGTCCCGTTTCTTCCAGTGGTCTTATGGTTTCAGGTCTTATGCTTAGTTCCTTGATCTATTTTGAGTTGATTTTTGTATGAGACAAAAACAGGGATCAAGCTTTATTCTTCTATATGGAAATACCTAATTTTCCCACCATCATTTATTAGAGAGGTTCTTTTCTCCAAACTACGTTTCTAGTTTTTGTCAAGAATGAGTTGGCGGTACGCCTGTGGGGTTACACTGTCTTTTGTTGCATGGGATTCTCTATTCTGTTCCATAGGTCTTTCTATTTTATTCCAATGTCATACTGTTTTGACTATGATTGTTCTTAGTATCACCACTGTGGATCCAGAAAGAGATCCATAGTATGATCAAGTTATCTCGCTTCTGGGCATGTATCCACAAAATGATATCAGCCCATCCAAGAAACTCCTGCACACTCATGTTCATTGCTGCATTATTAACAATAGTTGTGATACGGAATCATCCTAGGTGCCCATAAATGGACCAGTGGATACAGAAAGTGTAGTAATATACACAGTGGAATACTATTCAGACATAAACATGTTATTCGGTAATTTGTAACAAAATAGATGGAACCAGAGGATATTCTATATGGAGGAGTGAGGTGAAGAAGTCAGACACAGAAAGTTTCCTCTCCTACTAGAATATTTTTATTTTATTATTATTATTGTACTGGGGATGGTCATGACCTTGTGCTTGCCACGCAGGTGCTTGTGCCACTGAGCTGAATCCCCAGCCCATTAGGATATTTTTAGAAAGCCCATCAGTATGTGTCACTAGTGTATGTGGTGGGGCTGGATGAGTGTTAGAATTAACAAAGAGTGCAAAACACAGATTTGAAGGAACAAGTTCTGGCGTGATGCATCCGAATGGTGTGAGTATTGTTCTCAATTACCATCTTGTATTTTGTGAATAATTGTTAGAAGAGCTCAAAGGCTCCAACAATAAAGTAATGATAAAGAGATTGAAACATTAGGTACCCTAATTTGATTAATATGTACTATCTGCATGTATTGAAATATCACACTGTACCCATAAATACATATAATCATTACTTGCTAATAAAGTTTTAAAAAATTTGTAAGATGGAGATGTAAGTACCATGATTTGATCATCATACATGGTATATCTGTATTGAATTGTCATCTATGTTCTATAAAACTGTACAGTTAAAATAATAATTTTAAAAGGTATTCAAAATTAATTAAAATGTTATTTCAAGCAGCAGAAAATACTTGTTTTCCAATAAGCTAAAAGTACTGTCTAATATACATTTTTATTTTATCCTTAAACTATCTAACTGATTTGTTTACATGCTTATTGTGATTTTCTTGAGAAATGCAGCCTGTTTTACCTGGGTGCTAGAAAATAGTACGCATTGGCTAAATATTTCCTGCCCAACAACTCTTTTTTAAAATGCATGCTATGTGAAAAGGTATTACTCTTTAAATGAACCATTTTGTTAGAAAATTATAATTTGTGCCATTTTTACAGAGAAGGAAACACTAAGTCACAAAGGTTCAGTTCCTTGTTCAAGGTCACCCAGCAGATATACAGGCAAGCTGATTGTAGCTCCACTCCAGGGCCCCCAGTCATCACCGCGTGCACAGGAGATGCACACATCGGGGAGTCTAGTTCCGCTTCTAGAGCACTGGACCTTAGAGTGGGTAAGAATTCGATGGGAGGCTATCACAAAGCCCAGGTTTAAGAGTGAGGTGAGCCAAAATGAGGAGCCATGATGGGTCACATTTGGTAATCTCAGTTTTATACTTTAGCGTAGACCTTGCAGAATCTTCCAAGGTTCTCTAAGCTGATGGGCAGCAGACTAGATCCATACATGAGCAAAGTCTCTTGGGAAGCATTCAGGAGCACAGGCATGTGAAAGGCGCATGCCCAGAGGCAAGGAGGACAATTGAAAATGAAGGAAAATAGGAAAGAGTCGATAGGACCTGGGGAGTTGTAACTGGAGCGGAAAGAGGACAGAAACTCACGCATGTTGTCATGGTAGAGAATCAAAACCTTCTGGGCACTCACTGAAGGAGGTGGCGAGTCACAGATGAAACCATACTATTAGAACGAGAGGCAGGAAGAGGACAGGTGGTCAGGCCATGGCCAAAGCCAGAGATGTGAGCCCACGGATTTTGTCTGATGTGCGCTGTACTAACAGAAGACCGAGCTGTGTGCGAACGGATTCTAACTCCACACCCAAATGTGACCCACTTGTCGCTCCCAACTTCACCTAAGCCCGCTCTTAAATCGAGGCTTTTGCTATAGCCTCCATCAAATTCTTCCCCACTCTAAGGTTTAGTACTCTAGAAGCGGAACTAGACTCTGATGTGCACATCTCCTGTGCACGCTGTGATGACAGGGACCCCTGGTGTAGAGATAGAATCTGCTTGTCCACAAGTTGTGCATTTTTGGAGAATCTTAGTTCCCCTTTTAACCTTGGATTGGTGAGCACCCCCACCCCATCCTCTGTCTTCAAGCACTGTGTCAGCAGCATCGTGGGGGAGGAGCTGGAGATGTGAGCTTCGGAATCCGGTGTTTCACCGAGGTAGTAGCTGCTTTGACGTCCTCTTTTCCGTACTATAGGCCAGTGCTGGACCCTGACGCTAGCAGCTGCCCCAGAGCCAGGCAACTTTACTCTTCTGGCATTTCTAGGGTCTGTGTCTGGATTGAGACTTGGCTGGATCCGATGGCTGTAAAAATGAACAGAATAGGCAGGTTTCGGCTTTATCCAGAGTGAGTTTTCTTAGCTTGGGCTATGAAGAATACCCAAATTATATCTAGAATGAACACGCCCAGAAATGCTATAGAATCTCATCCTTCATAAAAACAAAAATGAGAAATAAAATAACTCCTCACTGTGGCCCGTGAAACCTGTCTGTTCTGAGCCCTGAGTCTTGCCTGCCCTGTTCCCTGATTCTTATTCCTCAGTTCTTGTGGCCTCCCCTCTGTCATCAGTGTGAAAAAGCAGGGAGCATTCCCTGCCACAGGCTTCCCCTGCCCTATGTACTCTCTTCTGCCAAGCCCATTCTTGTTTGACAGGTCTTGGCTCTAATATCAGAGAGCCTTCCCTGTCTACTCACATGGATGCTGCTCTGCACACACTGGCTCCTCCTGTCCCTTGGAATATGTTTCTCTAACTCCTTTAATTTGATATTAACTTAAGTTCCTAAAACTTGCCCATGTCCCCAGGAGAATAAACTCTAAGAGCATGGGAATGCTGCTGTCTTGCTGGCAACATTCCTGTGTGCCTAGAATATTTCCTGATCCATTCTATGTGCTCAGTAAATGCCCAGGAAATGAAGGAGAGAAACTGGCATACAAGAGAGAGCATTAACTATTTCTCTTGCCTGGCTTTATTTCACCTGGCTGCTGTTGTCATGTGTTCTTTCCAAATGGCCACAATTTAAACTTGCACTCTTCTGAGGATGATGCCATAAGTGCTACGCTCTCCCTTCTTTCCTCCCTGGTGACGCGCATCCCTTCCATCTGGTGACCAGACAGGAAGCACAGGTTACTTTCAGACGTGTTAGTGTGCTTGGAGGCAAAAGCATTCTCAAGTGGCTCCTTGGCAGTCGGGACAACTCGGCCCAGCATGATGGAAGTTCATTACGGAATGAGGGTAAGTGAAGTCTGTCTGTGAATTTCAACATGAACTAGATGGCATGTAATTGTATGCAAATGAAATGCCAGCTCACATCAAGTCCATGATGGGCTTCTCTGCTCCAGAGCCTCTGCCACTCACCACGCTCGGGCACGTAGAGACTGAGCTGGCATGGTGGCAGGTGCATGCTGGGAAGCTGATCAGCATTCAGCTTAGACAGCACAGGGGCCTCATTAGTGTTAATGAATTAGCGCTTTGGAAAAGGACGGATGACGTTACAGCTAGTGGTGGCTATCAGCTGCTTCCACTTATGCACGGGCAAAGAGTGGGCTTCGTCCTCATTTTCTGTCTCTTCCCAGGTGTGGAAGGCTGAACCTTCTCTAAACATTGGAATCAAAGACTTCTGCTTGTTCTCTCCTAACTCATTCTCTGAGCTGTTTACAGACCAAAATCACAGCAATTTTTCAGTCAGTGCAAGATGGAATCATCCCAGCTGGAGACCGATACGTGGTGTGGAACCCAGAGGTGCTGGTGACCCCCTTGCCCAGGGCAGCTCGGTCTGTTCTCTTGCTGTCCCAAATCCTGCCCTGTAAGTGGACCGCTGCCTGTGGGGTGGAGTGGTTCAAACCACACTTGTCAGCAATGTGGACAAAAAGTTCCTATCTCACAAGAAATGCCTGAGGGAAATAAGAATTGGCAAAAATAAAAGATCACTTTTTGTCTGTAAACGCATGTCCCTTCCAGAATAGGTGTTCAGCTGCGGGTGGGAAGTTGTCACTGCATTGTGAAAGCAGTTTTGCTAAAGAGAAAAGAAGGCAAATGACAGAAACAGACAGAATTGGTCAAAGAGAGGGCGAGGCAGAGACAGAGCCACAGCAGAGAGAGAGGGATAAAGAGGCTCAGAATAATCGCGGACAAGCAGCCAGTGGTTCAGAGAGATATTCATCAAGACAGCTGCACATTTTCACCGGGGAAATGTCCCGAGGATCCAGTGATTGTGCCCGAGGGGACTGTTCTCCCCTGTATCCTGCTGCAATTTTTTGATGGAAACAGAGTCTGGGTAGGATCTAATTGCTGAAGCTGGATGACAATGTGTTCTGATGGCTGTGAATAATCAGAGCTACAAAATGAAGAGGCTTAAGATCTAGATGGCCAACCAGGGAAGATGTTAGTCTTCAGTGCTCTGGGTTTGCTGCAGTTTAACTGCTGGTCACACTGCCTGATTCAAGTCTTGGCTTTGCAGCTCTTTAGCTGGGTGACCTTGGACGTGTTACTTAGTTTCCACATCTGTAAAATGGGGATAATCATAGCATCTGCCTTACAGGCTCTTGTGAAAAGTTAAGGAACAGGCATATGTTAAGTGCCTGGCATAGTGCTTGGCACACATTGGCAGTGTTGCTAACATTAGCAGCTACAGCTGTTATTACTGTGCTCAGTGGCCTTTACCGCACCTGAGGGTTTCACATGGAACAGAGCTTCAGTTATGGGGTCCTGACTGTAAGCATTTATGACTTGTGCACTTGTGTGATGTGGTAATGCAAGGACTCCTGTCCTTTGCCACTAGCCCACGGGGTCCCTGTTGTATTTTGGGAGAAACTTCTTCATGTTTTTGTGTTAGAATATCGTAATGTTCTGGTGACTTGTGATTGTGTGAAGGGGGTTTGGGTAAGCGATGTGAACATTAAACTCGACACAAGTTCTAGATTCAAAAAAGAGGAGAGGACTAGGTTATTTCATTTATGTTATCAGCTTTAATGCTCACACTGAAACGTTTGGGGAGTTATCATTGTTTTTCTTTTATAGATTAATTAATAGAAGTTCAAAAGGATAGAGTGGTTTGTCCTAGGTCACAAAGCACGGCGAAATGTGTGATACACGAGTGTGTTCAGTGAAAGAGTGTACAATGAGTGTGCCAATGTCATGGTTACACACGGCAAGAGGCGAATGGTGAATATGCCTTTGGACTCAGAATGTGTTATAAATTCAAGTCTCAGCACATTTCCTTTGCCTAACACATAACAACAATGTATAAAACATGAAAAGGAGAAGCCAACACCAAGTCAGTTGAATCAAAAATAAGATTAGTGTTTCTGTGGACTAGAACTGAAAGAAAATATGAGCAGGGTGCTAACGACTGCTCTGGAAAGAGACGCAGTGAAGCAGGGACCAGGCCAGGCTCACTACTGGAAGCCTGGAGCCCACTTGCAGGAATCCCGGAA